CATTTCGTGATGCTGCTATAACTGCATCAACTTTGTAGAAAAATATAGAGCATTCTGAACAAGAATGTAAAGAGTTAATTTCACAATTTCATTATTATAATGCTAAAAAAAAGCCATTTGATTTATCTTATATCCAAGGCCTTGATACTCCTATGTTATAGTAGGGATCTTTAAAAAACAATCTACATCATCTTCCTAAACTTGCACAAAGGCTCTTTAGTATCTCACTATCTCAAGCTAATTGTGAAAGAAATTTTTTGGTTCTTAAGTAGTTTATTGGTAATAAATGTACCTGTCTTGATATTAAGAGGCTTGAGGAAATGGCTAAAATTAGATCTTATTATATGACAAATATACATGATAGTAACGAATTTACTTATTTTGAAGCTTTTTTAACTGAATCTGAATTATGTGAAATGGTAAATCTCACATTAATAAATAATTTTATTGATGATGAAATAGAAGTTGAAGAAGTAATTGAAAATAATAATGCAGATGATGATCAAATTTTATTAACATGAACTAATATTGTCTTAGAAGATATTGTCAATTTACAAGATCTGATCTTTCAGGAAAGAGAGAATATATCTTTTGAAGTTCCAATTGATAATTTAGATTCTAATGTTGAAAATAGTGGTAATATGGATTTTAATCCAGAGAACCTTGTTGATACTCTTTTAGACCTTGATAGAGTTGCAGTTATAATTCCGTAGTGACAGTTGTGACTTTTGCTGTAACTATTACGGTTTTTGTCGTAATGCTGTAAGTAGTAACCTATGTCAGAGGTCGTAACCTATGTCGTAGGTTGTAACCTATATCGTAGATTGTAATCTATGTCGTAGGTCGTCAATGTAGCTTATATTATTTATTATGATGTGAATTTTCATGATTATGTTGAAAAAATAAACTGTATACGTAACCTGTTATTAAATTTTTGAAATGTAAATTCTACTACTACTTACTGTATTATAAAGGAGTTGATCGTTAAAAAAAATATATCACATGAAATT